TTCCCCTCGCCCTACTTCTACCCGCAGAGCCTGGTCTCCAACCTGGACCCCGGCGCCGCCCTCTACCTGTACCGGGGCCCCAGCGCGCCCCCCCCGGCCCTACAGAGACCCTTGGTGCCCCGCATCCTCATCCACGGACTGCAGGGCGGCAGCGACCCCCCCCCGCCGCTGCCGCCGCTGCCCGGGGTGCTGCCCCGGGCCGCGCAGCCCCGGTGAGCCCCGCGCCCCCCGGCCGCCCCCCGGGCACCCCCGGGCCGGGCAGGAGGGGGGGCGACCCCCAGCTGTAGGGGCCGCGAGCGAGCGACAGACTCCCCCTCCCCAAATCTATATATATCTATATGAGACAGCCCCACTTTTTTTAATATATAACGAATGCAAGAAGTAAAGGACGAGGTCTGGCAGCGCCGAGAGCTCGCAGACTGCGCGCCCCCCCCCCGCCACTCCTCGGTGGGACAGTCGTCGCATGGGGCCCGTTTTGCTCCCTCGGGGGGGGCAGGATGCTGCTGCCCCCCCCTTCTCCCTCTTCGGCCCCACCGAGGGGGCTCTGGCGGTGTAGGGGGGGTGAATTACCCCCCTATGCGGGCAACTGCGGGGGACAGAGGCCACCTGGCCCTGGGGGTGGCGGGGACCACGGGGAGGCCCCGCCGGGCTCTGCCCGCCCCTCGTCCCGGGCACCTGGGACCCCTCCCCGCCCCGGGGCGGCTCCGCGGGCACCGGCCCCGCCGCCGGGGATGACCGCGGGGTCCCAGGCTGCCCGGCCCGGTCCTCGCCCGCCAGGCGATACTTTGGGACGTCCGTAACCCGAAAAAGAAAAATTAAAAAAAAAAAAAAAAAAAAAGAAAAAAAGAAAAAAAAAGAAAAAAAGAAGTGGCGAAATGTAAATACCGTGCGCAAAATGTATATGAATTATTTATTTGTGAACCTTAAGGGCGTATTTGTGTAAGTGATTCTTGTCGGTCTGTGCGCGGAGCCCCGGCCCGGCCGGGGCAGGGGGTGTGGAGGGAGCGCAGAGCTCGGGCTCCCGCTCTCTCTCTCGCTCTTATTTTATTTTATTTTTTTTTAATGTGGAAATAAACTTCTTTACAAACAAACGGGTCTCGTCTTGCCCGGCCTTTCTTCCCCCGCGCTTGTTTGCTCTGGCGGCCGAGGACAGCGAAGCGCAAGGCGAAGTTCTGCCGGGTCCCGCCGCGGCGCCGGGGGTCCCGCGGCCGCAGTGCCGGCACGCGGGGCCGGGCGGGCGCAGCGCGGGCCGCGCCGCTCCTGAATTATTAACGCTCCTCTTAAGTGTATAATTGCCTAAGTGCTTTAAATGATCGCTCCGCAAAATGGATTGTTTCCACCCTTTCAAAGTGTCGCCCAGGCGGCCGCGGCCAGCGAGCCCGGCAGCTGCTGCCCGGGCCAGCCTGGGAGCGGCCGCCGTCTCGGGGAGGCGACAGATGGGCTGCGGGCTGAGCCCCCTGCCCTCCGCGCCCCCCGGCCCCCCCGGCACCCAGCGCCGGCCCCGCGAACCCCCCGCGCGCCGGGGGAGGCTCCGCGCCCGGCCCGGTGCCGGCGGCCGCGCGGCCCCGTGGGGAGGGTCCGTGGGGGCCTCGGCGAAATGCAGAGCCACGTCCCGGGGGGGCAGCGCCGGCCTTTGTGCGGCCGCCCGGGCCTTTGCATGTGAATGCGGGAGCCTGGTAAATCCGCCGGCCCGGGCCGCGGCGACGACGACGACGAGGAGGAGGAGGAGGAGGAAGGGGGGCCGGGGGCTGCTCCCAGCTCCGGGTTAATGAAGTGGGAAAGGAGTCTTTCAGCGAGGCCTGCAAACAAACCCCCTCCCCGGGCAACAAACCCCGTCCCAAATCCTACATGGATTGACTTAAACCCAGGGGATAAGTGCTTTAAATTAATCTCATTGAATAAGAATGAGGCCAAACAAAACTCTTTAAAATCATATTAAAAATCTATCAAAGGACAACTTGCAGTGGGTGTGCTTTTCATTTTGTGAGCGTGAAGGCAAGGCACATCGAGCAACCTTCCTTCCATTTACACAGCAGGAATGTGAATCAAAGACATTCTCTAATATTTAATTGTCCTTGTAGCCTTAGCAGATTCCTTCTCTTACATTAATGAAGTACAAGGCTCCGCTACACGGCTGTAATTGCAATATTTAAATTTGCCACTTCACATCTGGAAGACGCTGTAAACTCCCCTGGTGAAAACGGTCTGAACCCAGCGCTGGGAAGGGGCAACAAGGTCCAGAGCCTGGGCCAAGGGGGCAGATTCCCAAGGAACGTGAGGCTTTGGGAACAGCCCCATCAGGCTCTTGGGAAAGGGGAGAGCGGAGGGGAGGTCGAAGCTGGAGCCGTCTCCTCCGGGAGCTCTCCCAGCAGAGCAAAGCAACACGAGCTTCCCAATAAATCACTTTAGGGAAGAGTTTGTACGCTCTCATCGGAGAACCAGACGTGTGAACAGTGGCTTCTATGGATCTCGTCTGCCTCAGAAACTGCTGAAGGACCAAGCTCAGTCCCAGGCTGCATGCAGGGACAAGCTGAAATCCAGCGTCCAGTCGGAGAGGACCCGCAGGGTCCTACAGCTACAGCCACCCGGAACAGCGGGAACGTTTCAGAGCAAGATGTGGACCCAGCGCACAGCGTCCCAGGACCAGCCTCTGCCTCTGTGTTTTGAGCAGGACCAAAACCCCGAGGAGACACAGGGCACTGAACTCCTCTAACCCTCCAACACGCCCCGGCACCCAGCACAGCCGCTGGCTCTCGGCAGTGCCAGGGAAGTCTCCTTGACCAGCGGGCAGGGATCCCTTAGGAAGGTCGGGACACAAGGCGAGGAGCCGCAGCCCTCGCAGGTGGCACCAAAGGCTGGAGCCTGGAGACACCGACGCCGGCTGCCAGCTGAACAGACACGGAGCCGGGCAGGAGCGGGAGAGGCATCCCGGGAGAGGCGGCGCTCCCAGAGCAGGGCTCCGAGGAGCTGCAAGGAGCTCCAACACACAGGGAGTGTTAGATGAGAGCTCCCTAGTCCCGCTATTTCCAAGCCAAACTTGGAAGCTTCCAAGCTGCCGGGCCGCAAGGCCCGTGCCGTTAACCACGATGAAGACCCAAAGGCAGCCCACAAAACCCCACTGTGTGCGCAAACAAGCCCAGTTTCACCCAGCTGATCCCAACTCCACAAAAACCATTCCCGAGTCCTTCCAGACCACGTGACGCATCACCTACCTCCATGTGAGTGGGTACATCCACCACGTGCTCCAGGCTGGGAGCACCGGCTTAGGTTTAGGACGAACTTAGCACATGCTGCTAAGTTCATCCTGAGTTAGGTTGAGGCACAAGGACGAAACCAGCTCGGAATAGAGCAAATCTGGAGCAGGAGAAGTGCAAGGAAAGGCAGAATTTGGTTCCTGCTCTCCCAGCTGCAATTCAAACACATTTGCTGAAAGGGCTTCCAGTTCATTATGAGTGTATTAGGCTTAGCTTCAGGTGGGCACGCATTTCTTTTAATACTTTATTTTTCCCCCTTTAACAATCTTCTTTCATAGTAACTTCAGCAATCCAGACATATCTGCTAAAAGCTGGTGAAGCGGAAATAAAAAGGCATTCTAGCTTTCTCTTTTGAAGATGAATCACGTTATTCATCCACACCATTTGTACCATTATGTGCCCAGTTACCACAGACAGCAGTAAAATTTCCTACAGCCTGACTGATGTGCTGCCGGGCTTTATTCCTATTATTATGAATTTGCCAATGGTCTCTATTAATTCATATGTGACAGTTAGCAGGGAGAAGGTCGTATTTTTTCTCCTTATGCACAGGATCAGTTCTTCCCAACTTAAACTCTCTGCATCACTCTCTGAGTCATTTTCTTCCTCAGGGGTTTCTTCTCTGTTTAAGTTGACATTTGCCTTAAACTGATTACCCTTCCAAACAGTAATCATTATAAATTCATGTGGCCTTGTTTTTTTACTTTATTTTAATCTAATAAATGCAAACAACTCTGTCTCTGCAAAAATAAGGTTAACTTCATATTGAAGCATTTCAAACATCCTTCCTACCCAACTGTTGAAAACCCTACTGCATTTAAACCTGCAACACACCCCTTCGTAATTGCCTGGGAGGAACAAAAGTCATTTTGGTCCTCAAAAGTTATATTCAGTTGAAAAATTAAATAAATACTTCTGTGCTGCTTGCTCTTCTTGCTCCCTAGGCTGACTCACCACAGCCCAATACTGGGTGCTGTCAACTCTGTCCTCACCCATGGTATCACTTTTACCTGGTCACGCTCCCTTTTCGGGGCTCTTGGCCCTGTTTCTTTGGGTGCCTCCCTGTATTTGAGCCCCTTCTGGTCCTGTTTCGAGTAACGTGCTGGACTCCGGGCGCCCACGGGCCTCTCTTCCCTAAAAGAAGATACCTGCAGGCAACAGAAAGCTGTTATTTGGGCTGCTTTGCACTGTTTTCAGATGTGTTTGCTGTTCCAGGAGGTGCTGGAAGAAGCACAGAGGGGCAGCAGGGGAGGTGGGCACCGACCTGGGGGTTTTGTTGCTCTCCCTGCTCCCTCCTGCACATGCTCTCCGAGTCACCAAACCCAAGGGCTGTTTTATCACGGCTGCACTCGAGCTCCGACCACATTTTACGTGCTGGGCCACGAGTGCTCATCCTGGCACCTCTGCGGCCCATCCTTAAAAGAGCTGCAGCAGGTTCTTCTCTTGCCACTCTACATTTTTGTTCTTGTTGAAAACAACAAAAAAAGACAAACAGGCAGAAGCACAAAGTGAATCCATGAGCTTGGGCCACACTCCAGAAGCAAAGCACAAGGTTTAGCCCTATCACAAAGGCTCCCGACGTTACAAAGCCGAGGTTACTGCTGGCAAGTGTTAGCTAGACTCTGCAAGGGCTTTAACGTTCACAGAGGTGAGACAATTCACTCATAGCCTACGTTACATAATTAGGGATGACAATACGCTGCAGGCAAAAGGAAAGTTTGGAGCCTGCTGGATTCTACCTCTGGCTCCTTCCGACAGTGACAAGGTTTATTCCTAAACTTATAAGCTTTTTGGCATTAAGTTTTGTGCCCATGAGTTCTGTTCCTAAGGGACTCTGAATCATTACTCCGAGTTTTCTACAATCCTATCGGTCCCACTGAGATCAAGGAGATGCCTTATAGGACCTGGCAACATCTGATTAATGGTCAATGCCCAGGACAGACCTTGCACCAACGTACAAAGGACAGGAGGGAGGGTGACAGCAACGTGATTACAGTACCTGAGACAGGAGCAAACATGTCCCACCAGCTGATGTCAGGGGGGACAACAGCTTCTTCTCCTCTTAAACCTGCACCTGGAACCACTTTGCTACTCCTTTTTCCTCTAGTTTAAATTAAGCAACAAAACACAGCCCAGAGTGTTTCTACAGGCCTTTTAAACAGGAATGATTTTTTTTTTCTTTTAAATAAGAAAGGATTTCTTAACATTCTTAATAGATTTGTCTCATTTTAATATCAAATAGATGCTTCTCCAAAACCCATACTTCATCTCTTTTATTTTCCTTGCAAAGAAGCCTTAGAAACACGATAGATCTTCAGGAAGCTGCACTTAAATGCAGCAGTGCAACAGGACATGTGTGGATTCGACTCCATTTGGACCTATGGAGCAAGGGGAAGGAGGCTGAGCTCCCCCAGGCTCCCTCCCACATTTGCCTGATAAATTGAAGCAGTCCTCAGTTATTTGGCAGGTCACCCCGACCCCCAGGTGGGACACTCCAGCAGGTTTCACAGCAAATGACGGGAAGGTCCCGGCTTATGTTGGATTCTCCTTGGTGCCAGGTTTTCTCTGTTTCTTCTTCTTCCTGACCTTGGATACCCCAGTGTCCATCCCGCTGGAATATTCGGAGCGCAAGATCTCAGCGAGGCGATGCTTGCCGGGGGTCTTGCCGCGGTTGCCTTTGGGAAGGTCAGACCTGGGCAGAGGGAAGGGGACAGGAATTAAGATTTCCTTCTCTCCGAAACGCTGCTAGGTGGGTTGCTGATTTTTACAGCTGCGGGTAGTGACATTTGCGCATTAGCAGAAGAGCAGCTTCCTCTTCTGGAGGCTTGATTTGAAATTCTGTCTCATGCAAAATTAGATATTGTTGTGACAGGTTTTCACAAAGGTGGCAAAATATCATGCCGTTTTTAAAAGCAAGCCTTTGTTCTGTACAAATGCTCTTGCAGGGGTGGCGGGGAGAAGAAGGGAAGGTTTTGTGCTGAAGGCTGATGAATTAGGTGACACAGCACTTTGAAAATCATCATAATAATGAAAAAAACCCTTAACAGCCTTAAGACACCGAACAATGGGAAACATTTTATAAACAGAGCTTATATCCAGGGCTTGGAAACAAAAATGCAAACAAACAAGCAAAGGAAGAAAGAAAAAAATAAAGAGAAAGGAAATCTTTAAAGAGTGCAAAACCACCGGGCTCTTCTCTTGCAGTGTCCTGCAGGTATCACACGCACCTTGCAGCCGTCCTCTCCAGAGACTGCCTTTTGCAAAGGTAGCTGCACTGTGCCCAGCACCACGCTCCAGCATGGATCTCCCTGCAGCCCTACATTGCTGGCTATAAATACACAAACCCACTCAGCAATTTTTTTCCCACCACAAGTTCTGCCACCGTCTGCTCTGTAACCTTGGGCAAATCCTGTCCTCATTCCTGCTGTTATCACCCTCCTCTTACCTACTTAGACTGCAACTCTCTCCGCTGCAGAACCTGTTGTTCCTTACAGACCTGAGCACAATGGGGTCTCCGCATCTACTGGTGTCTGCACAAACAAAACTTGTGTTTTGGATGTGATGTAAAGCAAGAGATCTTGAAGATTTACAGAAAACCAGAAACATGCTGGGGATTACAAGAGCATAAAGCATTCTAGGCTAGGATGGCTAGTCCTTTGAAGCAAGGGCCTAATTCATTCAACAGGCCAAATATATGAAGAAAGAAGAGCAAACCCTTGGTTTACTGGCATATTTTCTCACCTCCTTTTCCAGAGGTTGCTTCCCCATCCCTGTGTAGGTCTCATGGCAGGTGTGGGCTTGGAAGGAAGGACCAGAATGATTAGAAGGACACTGTGAAGAATTACCTTGGAAAAGAGGGTTGCCCTAGAAGAGCAAGGCTAGAAGCTTCAAGGAACAAGGCTCTGCTACCTTAGTGTAATCCCCAATTTCACTCTAACTTACCAGGTCCAAGCTCTGGCTGGGGTTGCAGGAATGAGATGTGAAGTCTCTGCCCTGCTTGAGCCCCCAAGAACCAAGCCAGAGAGAAAACCATCACCCCTAAGGCAGCCTTAAGGCTAATGAAGTAGCTGTGCAGCTCACAGAGCCGTACCTGCAACGCCTCCAGAGGAAACGTGCCACAAGCAACTGCCTTCCCAACGGCACAAGCTGCAGGTGCCTGCACAGCACCAGGTCACGGGGGACCCCGGCCTCACTGCAGCCTCTTTGCTCAGTCTCCTCCATCACCTGCTGAAGTTTCTCTTTGACACTTGGGTCGTCTCCGAGCCTTTACTCCCGTAATTCGAGGGTTACCAGGCAACAGATCAGTTTACTTAACAACAGGGAACTATTTGCTGCCGAGGAGGAGTAATCCACCAGTAGCTGCCGGGCTGAGTTTCAGCTCAGCAGGAAGGTTGTCCAACACTTTATTATCAATCAGGAGAAATCATTGCCCAATTAGTAAATCAATACCTCCTGCTAGGGTGATCAGCTGCGCACAGGAAGGCAGAGAGGCAGGAGAAGGGGAGGTTTCTCCCTGGACCGGAGCTGGGGAAATCAATGGAGCTATGCAGGGGCACCCGTGCTAATCGCTGAAGGGAAGAAGAGATGGATATTGCTGCAGCTGTCACCCACAGCACGCAGGAGCCACAGGCAACGTGACCATCCCCAGCGCGGGCACGTTGGGCAAGGGCACTACATCAGGATCCCTCGTTGGATTCGGAGTCTTGCCGTGTTGACGTGAAAATTCCCTCTCTGCTCAACGGTGGGAAGTCTCTAGGGCTCTGCTAGAGCAGGCAATGACTGGGAGGAAAGGACCTGGATCAAGACCTTGATATTCTGAGCATTCCTGGGGAAGGTGGTTAACGCCTTGGTCCTTCATGTCTGTTCTCCTGCTTCATATCCCAGGATGAGGGTATTCTCCATGTTGCTAACACAAGTGTGATGCTAAAAACAAGCGTGATGCTAAAAACAAGCATGATGCTAATAACAGGTGGCAGGATACGTGGCAAAGAGCTTCACAAAAAGGCTTGTAAATACAAGATGCAGCTGCAGCACCGACAGAACCCACGTTCCCATCACTGGGTAAACACATGGACTGTCAAGGTCTCCTCCTGTGATCTCCTGTCTAGGTACCACAGAACAGCGAGCCCTAATGAGGACACACCATGGTGGTAACGGGCACAGAAATCCACAGCCCTTGAAATAAAACAACCATCAGTGTTTAGGTGGAGAGCTATGCAAGAAAGCCATGAAAAGAAACTTGCAGGAAAAAAAACCTTCACTGATAACTGACTCATCCTGATATGCTGTAGTGTCAAGATTTCAGCAGGGTTTAAATGAGAATGATTGAGAAAACAGCCCACAATTGGGCTCCTCCTCTTCTACCCCACTCTTACTCTAGCCATGGGCTACCAGGACTCCCAAAAAATGCAGATAGGAACTGGTGAGAAGAATAGGCAGAAAAGAGTCAGCATCACCTTGTCTTCAACTGGGGACACATTGTGCCTGCACTTGCAAGGCCTCTGCTTAACCCCAGACCCAAGCACTGCTTGGAGGTACATGCTCAGCCCCACCAGTCCTCAAAAGATAACAGCACAGAGCTGGGAGAGCAAGGCTACCAGCACTGCCAGGTATCCCAGGCACAGGCCAAACAAATGGGTCACCCCAGGGCCCATGTAATCACCTCGTTATCAAAAGAAGGCAAAGATACATTGTACAGGGAGGGAGGGAAGACAGAAAAACTAGTAATTGCTTGGTATGGTCTGAGAAACCTCCTCTCCTCATGGACAAGAGAGCAAGGAATAAAAGACGCAAGTTTACAGCTGCCTGTGCACACCTGTAATTAAATTTCAACCTCACAAAAACCTGTACCAAGGGCCTCTACGGAGAGGCAACAAGGAAACAGAGGAGCAGTCCCCATGTGACTTTGTTTTATGCTGAAAGGCCAGGAAAGACCAGGCCGGAGCCAGATTTCTAAAGGCAAAAAAGCTTTGCCCTCCTCCAGAAAACTGCCATCCTGGAATAATTTATTCACTCTTTAGGTACAAGGAGAAACTCATGAATCTTGCTAAACACATCACTGAATGATGAAGAGGTGGGCGAGGAGCATCTGGGAGAAACGAGAGGGAGAATATAACTAGGGAAGGAAAGAGAATACAGTTTTTTTTTTTTTTCTCTGCTGGTTTCATCAGCTTTAGCTTCCTTTCACCTCCACCTGCAGAGCCACTTGCAGAGTTCCTGCATCCCATGTGGACACCGCCGCGATCAGCAGGGGTCCTGGCATTGCCCAGCCCTCCACCTCCAACGAAATCTAATGCTACAAACTGGTCTCCTCTTCTGGTCCCTCTGCTCTCACCTCTTTGCACTGCTCAGAGCATCATTACAAATTCTGGGCAAATTTTTATTCACCTTATTAAAAAAACATAGGCAAAAATGTATCGTGGGTGATTAGCCTGGAATGCTCTGTTGTTTTCAGCTCTGTCTTCTGCTCTGCCACATGACACTAACTCACCATCGAGTCCCACTTTGCTGATGTCCTTGATGCAACACACCTTCAACACGCTCAACTCGCGACTTCCATGCATCTTGGGCAACAGATGGCTTTGTGAGTGCTGGAAACACCATCATTTGCATTCCATAATCACTAACAAAATGCTGGAGTAACACAGAATCAGGGAAACCTCAAACAGGAGGAACTATACTACTGCCAAAAAAACCTCAGGATCTGTATATTAAAATGAAATTTGAGTGTGTTCAACATAGCTGAGATTCTGCAGACAGTTTCAAGGCACAAATGGAAGAGGAAGAACAACATATCCAAGCTATTCTGTTTCTATATAATTTCCCCTTTGTCTCTCATTACAGGTAAGATCGTAAGAATGATTCCAGTTTGCCCAGCTATTTTTTTATCAAGATGAAATTTGTTACAGAACATGAATTATGTTTCTGGATGTTCAGATCATCAAAGGTTCAGGTGTGAAAAGACTAAGCAGCAATGGTAAGAAAAGCAATGAGTATCTGAAGCCATTTTTCCGTCTTCAGCTCAATGCTCTAACTGAATGATTTTGTTTCATTGGTAGGTTTGCTTTATAAGAGGTCTGTATCACAAGCTGGTCTCCAAGCCCCAAATTCCTACATACCAGATTAATGTATACATACATGCACGGTTTCTTGGACATCATTTGACAGCTCAGATGAGGTCTCTGATGGTCTTTTTACCTAAAGGGTGAGCAAGTTTGATCTCAGGTACTTCTCCTTCAACTTGGTTGGCACCGGTAGCTGCCCCTTTGTCTTCAGCTCTGGGCAATGCTGGTGCAGTGCAGCAACTGTTGGTTAACCTTTAACCAACTCGCAGTGTCTGCAGCAACCAAAGGCACTCCTAGATGGTCCCGCTGAAGAAGAGGGAGGGTAAAGTCCTGATGCACAGACCTAGAACTCATGGTGTGTCTTTGGAGGAGAATGGAGTAGGCTGTTTCATTTATCAGAAAACATTTCAACACAGACTGCACTATCAATCTGCCTGACAGCACCTCCAACAGCTCTTTGAAATCATGCCAGCAGCAGAGCTGGGTTACCTCTGGGCCAAGGCTGCTGCAACACCTGCTTTTTCTACTTACGGTGTTGGATGAGCCATCTGCAGCCAACGCAAGCCCGTTCAGGTTGGGTTTTCTGTCGTTTTTGTGGAGGGTGGGGGCAAGAAATTTATCAGCAATCCTGCACAGCTCTCGACAAGTCAACAGATGGGCTAGACACTCTGTTACGAGCTGATACAAACACTAGCTTGGGAAGATGAAGGGAAAATTATAACCCAATCAAACCAAGCATCAAGTGCTGCTCCAGTCCAGTCAGAACACTGGAATCTTCCCACTAAGACATACCAAGCAGTGAAGCCCACCATACAAGCACAAGACAGTTGTATTTCAGCTATACAGAAAGAATACAGATTCATTTTCACTGCCATCCTCTGGCCTACATCCTATGCAGAGAGGATGAAGGTACAACTGGGAGGCTGATGATCTCCCAGGATTCTTGTTTCTGTCAAGCTCTTTCCTGGCCAAAAGAACAAAAAACATTTCATTTAGAAAGGGCTGCTTGTCCTGGGTGGGTAACAAAGAGCACTCAAATTTTCCAACTCAATGTGCAAGCCTTACTATTTCCCTGAAAGATGGAGCAATGGATCTATGCTGGAACAGGACAGCAATAAGGGGCACTGCTACATGCTCATTAAGAGTCACATTTTAAAATCCTTTTAAATTATGAAGCTTTAGTCTCCTAACAGGACACTTGGTAACATCACAATGTTGTAAGCAGGACTCATTTGAACTGCCCTCTTGAAAAGCAGTTTAGGCATGATGATGTTCATGTTCAGAGCACAGGCAAAGCAAGGATGATGTAAATTGATTCTCTCAAGCAGAAGCATCCTGGAACACGTTATCTGGATCCCAATATGAGCTAAGAGTTCTGTTTAAACTCTGAAGTGTCAGCAAATTTCATGTTAACTATCCCCATTTCTTGCACCTCTTGCATTCATAACCACGAGAATTCCTTTGAATCCTTCTGAGCACTCCTGGTTTTTAGAGACACCCTCTAGCAATGAGTTCCATAGAATCTATTGAGCTTAAAGACTTCTCCCTTTCTTTGTAACTGCATGGTCTCACAAGCATGGCAAATTAAGCTGTGACTCCCATAATGATGAAATCCTTTAGGAACATACATCAGTCTTCCAGGGAAATCAACTGGCGAGAAGACACCCTTGGTTCCCCAGAGAGTCCCATAAAGCCCTTGTGATCCATAGTGCCATCCAGTGCACAGTACAGGGATGCTAGGTGGAATGGCAACAGCTCTTTGGCATCTGCATTGTGAAAGAGTCAAAAAGAGACATTTCTCCAGCAGGAAGCTACTTCCTGGGCCTGCTGCTTTGCTAAAGTGAAAGACAGCTAATCCCTCAATGGAAGTGGGATCAGCTTCCCTGCCCCTTCCCGTCAGTAAAAGCACAAGCACACACACTTACTAAGCTGAGGTACCGTAACCTGATCTACAGTATCTTGTTCATGTGCTCATCTCTTAAATAAATACAGCATTTCACCTTTCAAAAAGACCCCGAGTGATTATTTCGCTGTCTTCAGATCAAGTTTTGCAAGGACCACAACAGCTATGGGGGCAGTTTGGTTGCACAAAGAATTAAAAAAAAAAAAAAACACACATGAAAAGAAGCAGTTTTACACATGAATTCAGCAGGAAGGGGCTGCTTCCACATTTCAGCCCCGAGAACTGTCACACACCTGGCTGCCATGGCTCCCCATCTCACTTTCCCCAAGCAGGCTCTGGAAGGAGGCAGCAAGTACAAAAGGAGAAGTAAAAAGAAAGGAAAAGTTTTCTTTGTCCTCTTAAGGAAACATTCAATGATGCCCTTTACCCTGCTCTCTACCTGGGCCGCCTGCTCTTTATTCCCAGGACAGGTGCTGAGAGATGAGGCTTTGGTGTGCAGGCTGATTAAAAACAAGTATCAAATGTTTGGCCACAATGTATAATACGACAACCAACACCCATGGTATCACGTGAGAAATATAATTAAAAAGATTGCTCTGTGACTGTGCTGCTATCATTCCAAGCCTTGCATTTTACGACTGAAAACTGTTTGTCTTCTAAACAGCAAGCTAAATCCTACTCCCTGCTTTGTCAGTGAAGAATCAAAAGCAATTCTCTGTAAATTAATAGCACTATCTTGAATTTATGCTGGCAGATACCAAATCTGAATCTACACTCACTTTTTTCTAAACTATCCTATAAATACTAATATATCCTCTTTCTCCCTTCCTTTTTTTTTTTTTTTTCTCCTCTTCTGCAAGCACACGCAGAGAAATGTAATTAGAAACAAGTTCATAAGCAAGAACAATCATTGCATGACACAACTTTGGCTATTTCGCAGGGCCTTAACTTTCCAGATGCTCCCGGATTTGAAATCTGGAGCACGAGCCGTGACGAACCTGTGCAGAGTCTGCCCCCTTTCCCCGAGCTGCAATTAGACCCTCCACGTGCAAACGAGCTTTCAAATCACTTGCAGACCATTTGTTCTAAACACCTCCACATCCCCCCAGCCCCACGCACCCACCCCGTGCGTCAACTACGACTGTATCCTAAGCTTGTCTGTACCATAATGGGATGAAGACTTGGGGAGGAGGAATGCCATCTAAAAGAGGTGCATGACAAGGGGAAAAGTAGCTCTAACAGAGTAGCAACATCACAGGAACAGAGCGAGGCATTGTGCAGGCCAAGTAATCCTGTGACACGCTACTGTCAGTCATGGCTTGACACCCTGCTGGGCCAGCAACACATCAAAGCCCACCCCATACCATCTTACATGCTCTTTATCAGCTAATCAGGCTATTCTTCCCGAAATAAAGCTCCGTTAAATCCCTCCTCACAGGGGCATTCCCATCCTGGTGCCCATCTGCTGGTGAGGGTCAGCTGAAGCAGGAGGCAGATCAGTGGCCTGTCCCTGGTGGCTTCTCAAAGCAGGACAATGCTGTCTCCAACTTTTTATTTCAAAATCCCTTCCCCTATTTTTTTTTCTCCTCTCCCTCCCCAAGACATGTACATTTGCAAGAGATGTCACCAGCCCAGGAACCATTATGTGGATTAGTGCTTTAATTGCATGGATAACACTTACTAATGGAGTGTGCAGCAACAATTACACAGAAAGAGTCACAACTGAAACTAAAGAAAACTAAAGAAAAGATTTTTCCTCTTCTGAATGCTATCAGTGATTTTACAGGCAAGCTAGGAGTTTGTATTCTGCTGTGATGCTGGGGAGGACAGCAGAGTCTTTATTTTGCAATTTCAGAAGAAAGGACCATCTATTTTGTGGAAGCAACTCCAAGCAGCTAGAATTGGACATACTGAGCACTGACAGCTCCACTGCAAGCAGAGGAGCGTATTCAAGACAACTCCTGAGAATCATCAGGGTATCTCAGGTTCCTTACACAGGAAACATGCCCAGGATGAGACCTTGTCTAGCACTCAAGGGGACAGAGCTGTAACTCTTAAGTCTGCAGCAGAATCTCCCTGGCAGAGATGACACAGGATTTTGCAGAAATGTTTTTGCCAGAACCACTGAAATCTAAAGGCAGCAGAGCACAAGCTTGTAAATGGTTCATTCTTACCAAAGTATCTGCATTTTCTCTTGGGTTTGTGTGTACATCAATACAATGGATCTTTTAATAAACAAGAAAAAAATGCATACTACAGTCCTCCCCTTTTCTCCTGGTCAGAGCTGATGTTGCCATACAGAACAGGTAGACGAAGCTGCACTTGATCTTTCTAAAAAGATGGGCACAATTTGATCCATGGTCAATCTGACAGACAAGAAATTGCTGGTGGAACTACAGGACTAGGCCCGCAAGAGATTGCATGGTATAGAAAAGGTGAAAAAAAGGGGCCAGAGGTGACCACAGAAGGTCTTTAAAACAGAATAAGACACATACTTCGCTGTAAAAGAGTATCATGTGGTCCAAAAAGACAGGAGGATCATTTCTGTGTAGTGGATTGGACCAGATAAAAGAAGGAAGAGCAGCCAGTAGTTGTGAAGGCCAAGCAGGATGAGATTATCCTGTGAGATAAATCAGCACCTATTTTGGCCATGACAGCAAGACTGTTGTTGGTCCTCTAGGAACCAAGACTTGTGCAAGAAAAAGAACTACTCCAATAAATGGCAAAAGTCTCGCATTTTTCTGTGGAACATTGCCTATATCCTTCCTTATCCCTCAAGATAGCTCTGGAGAGAAGTATAAATAAATAAAAATTAGGCTGCCTCTGCTTATAAGACTCATAAGAGTTATTGTTTTTCAAGTACTCATAAAATGGAAAAGCTGCAGCAAAACCTAGGCTAATCTATATAGGTGCCTCTCTGCATCTCCTTCAAAGATAGAGCATCTTTATCAAAAGTCAAACTACAAAGTGAGATGTTTGTTTTAAAAACAGTGCTCCCACTCAAACGTTCAACCCAGTTGGTTTAATAATAAATGCAATTTTTAGACTCTCTAAAGCCTTTGGAAAAAAATGGAGAAAGAAACTACAGCTCAGGGAGCAATACAAGCCAAGGCAGTGGTTCACTGTGGATTAGCACCTCAGGAACAGTTGCCTGTGATCTCTTTTAGCAAGCACATGAACCTCATGGAGACATGCACACTCTGGCTTGGAACACGGCATTCCTCAGCTCCAGGACACTGAGTTCACCTACCTTTTTTGTCTTGCTTTGATCTTCTTCTTGGAGCCAGCCTTAGGAAGAGCACTCAGGTTCTGGGGGGCGTCCCTCAGGCCAAAGCTCTTGGCTATGTGACCCAGGTGAAGAGACTTGATGTGGAAGATGTGCTTGAGGTTTCTGGGGTAGGTGGTATAGGCACAAAGGAAAGACTGCAGTGCTTGGAAAAAAAAAAAGAAAAAAAAGAATGAATTTTGTTTTCCATCGCACTTTTATATATATACGTACACACACATACTTTAAGATTCAGCTGTTCCACCTGAAAGGACATTGGTCTTATCCTTTGGGACACCTTCTGGGCAGCAGCTGGTGGGAAAGGTCGCTCTGTTAAAAATCTGTGAAGGTTGTGCACTACTAGTGCAATCCCATGAGGAGAAGGGTTAGGTGCTGAAAAAGAGGTATGTTAAACTGCACTAGGTTTGCCTCTTGCAAGGCTGTCCCTTCTGCTGGAAAAGGGATGTTTATAGCACATCTCACAGGAAGAAGTTGTTGACATCTAATAGTAGCAGATAGGGGAGAGAGGAAGAGAGATGCACAGGATGAAGATCAAGAATGAGAAGCATGGAGGCGGGATAGGCAGATTCCTCTGATATTACAGTCCCAGCAGTCCGTGCATTTTTCACCAGTTACCAGCTAGTCCCTTATAAATATCTGAGAGCTAGATGGATTTCCTGACTCATCATCACACCGAGAACAAAGCTCACCTATTCAAAAGGAGGAAAAAAAAGAGTGTGCAAATTCTCCTTCATATCTTTATATTCCTGTAATGCCCTTCCCTCAGGGCTCATTGCTCTAAAGACGATCATCCACTAATATGAACGCTGCCACTGCTCCTCCACGCACCCAGGGCACTAACTACACCCAAGTTGTCCTCTCTGCTACAAGGAATAGAGAGATTTTTAGTAAGGAAACTCTTCAGTCCTGAAAATGCCTCCCTTCAATCCCCTGCTGCTTGCTAACCCTTCTGTGCCCCTCTAGCCCTTGCTCCAACCATCACCTACATCTCCCAGCCCCTGATAGCAGCAAGCTCTAAACTCTAACCTCTCCTGCCCTTGCCTGTTGAGCCACCAGACCAGCAAGTTTGCCCACAGCTTAAGTCTAATCTCTTGGCAGCAGCAGGAGATTGGAGTTTATGAACAGTAATAAAAATGTCATTTTAGCAGATCAGCTCCTGGAAGGACCCTGGGAATCCATCAAAGCTCTGTTTACTGAGCAAAGTGAACTCCTTTTCCCAATCGATAAGAAGAAAAGATTGAGGGTTTTTGCACCTTTTTCCCAATTTCACAAGGCCACTCTTTTAGAGGCATCTGAACCTGAGGAGACCTGCGTTTTACCCAAAACAGAATGCTAACTTCCACATCCCCGGCCTGGCTGTCTCATCTGAAGCCCATCCCTCAGAGGAGCTGTAAACCAGCTAAAACTCTCTCAAAAATCCAGTTCTGCTGCCTTTTATTTTTTCTCCTTCATAAAGTATTTGGTCAAACTCAGACCTTCAACGGAAGACTGAGAAGACTCTTCAAAAGGAATGACACAAATTGCTCCTGCTCTGAACCTGGTCTAGCCAGAGCTAACAGAGTCACTTCCTCACAGCAGGTAAAGTGGCTGGATAACAAGGATCCTGTTATGAAGGCCGAGCTCACCTCCCACTCCTCCTCATTTGTGAAGGCTCCTGGATCAGAGTTGGAGAACCAAGTCTCACAAACGTCTACCACCAACCCCAAAGTCCTGACAGACAACACATGGCAGCGAGCTACACATGATGGATGCTAGTTAGGTTTGTCACGAGGGCAATGAGGTATGAAAGCAAGACAGGTGACAGAACCTGTCACCGTGCTCTCAACTGGCAGCCAGGTCTCGGTGCTGGCCCTGGAGTGCAGCCTCAGCCCCATTCCTGGGTACAGGGGGAGACACTTTGCCAGCTCCTGGGGCACCTGGGAATGGGGAAGATGAAGACACCAGAAGAGTCACTGCCAGAAGCACCATGCTGCAGCAGTGGCCTCCTAGGAAAGCTGCGCTGCCTCCCTCCACGCATGCGTGCTGAGGACACAAAGGGCGAGGCAAAATGCTCAGTTTCTGGCTACAAAACAGCATAAGATGGAAGAGAAAAGCAACGTTCACTTCCCCAACCTATCCGCAACTACAGCGATGCCAAGGATTAAAATGCAACCTCCCCAGCTCCACCTGCCATCACGGTCCCAAAACGGAGTGTCCGTCTCTGCATCCGAGAGGCCTCCGTTTCTCCGAAGGGGCTCCAGGAGATTTGTCCTTCAGGCAGCAGAGCGCAGCCATGTTCTGCCTCCCACCCTACCTCACAGTCAATCAGGTTTGAAGGGCAGCACCTTCAGCAGGCTCTTGGATCTAAGTTTGGAAAACACAGGCCTGGGAGGCAGGAGGGGCGAGCGGGCAGGGAGCCACTCGCCTTTTGAAAAGGGGCTGCAATCAAAACACTGCTTATTAACATTGACTGGGGCAGAAAACGGGGAAAAAGAAGGGAAAGGAAAAAAAAAAGACAGAGAGAGGGGGAAACAAATGCATCTCTGGCACAGTTTCCAATTGATTGTCTGCCATGAAAGCGAAAGCCAGCTGCCATGTTAATTATTCATGATGCCTGGCGCAGAGGGGAGGAAGAGGGGGCTCATGGAAGCCAGTCAGCAGTGGAAAATTTGCATATGTAGATGGCAGAGGAGGAAAAAGAGAAAGCGGTGGAGTGCTCCTTGTGGAAGAGAAATGGGAGGCATCAGGCTTCAGCATTTGCTCACAGATTTTCTGTGTTTCTTGGCTGTGGATGAAGAAGTTTTCAGCGCTCAGGTTAGCAACAAGTGTGTGTGCATGTGTGTACGTGTGTATATTTGTGAGCGTGTGCACACACAGTGACATACGTGGTACACAGGGAGATCAGAATGGGTTGGAGTGTGACTAAAGCCAACAGTTGTTCTCTCTGTCACAGCCACTTCATGTTAAAGGCTGGTGCGGGGTGGGAGCTGTCCCATGGGAGCAACAGGAAGTTCATACACGCAGAATCAAGGATCTGATTGCGTTCGGCACGTGCTTTGAGCTCCTGGGCTTAAAAGTGCAGCTGGAAGTCAGAGAGTACCAGTCATGTAGCACAAGTCACTTTAAAATCAGGATAGGCAAGAAGCTTATGCAGCAAGTCGCCAATACTTTCCTTGGAAAGGAAAAAAAAATAGCACTGCAACTCTTGAAGGGAATGGAAAAAAAAATCAGTAGAGTGACAGGCAACAGAGTGGGATAATGCAAAAAATGAAACAGTTGGATCCAAATACTGCTCCCATCAGTATGAACCTGCATCATTAAAAGCACACAGGAAAAGTTGGGATAAGCAGGCAGTTATACCTACCAGCTCTGGTCCTTCTGCTGTGTCACCACCTAACAGTTTATCATTCAGAACACAAAACAGCATCTTTAATCTCTTGGGAACACACCCAAACTCTTCTCTTGATTATAGTGTTAATGAAGATTTTTTCTGGACTGCTTAGTATGTGATTTTTGCAATTTAGTACACTTGTCATGCATACCTACACGCAGAGCAGGTGTACTTCCTCATAAATAGAAAGGATGTGGAGTGTTCAAATCCATCTCAGAGAACCCCTCTCATCCCAACCTGATCGCTAACTCTGCAGAACTGCCATCAACAGGACATTTATAAAGTTAAGACAGCAGGATTTGCCTCAAAGAGACAAATGAGGTGCAAAAGGAAAGGACTGGGCAGGGAAAAACATAAGGAGCCACTCAAAAAGAAATAAAAAAAGGGAGGAAAGAGCTCTGGTTTTACCTACCCTGAGTAAAAATGGTTTAGTCTCTTCAATGGAGACTTTACATTTTGGGAACTTCTCTCAATATTTAATGACCAAAATCCAATTAAATGCCAAGGACCTTCGGGGCCAGATCTCCAACACTGTCTTCACAGCAGCTATTCAGTTTTTGGGTGCAGCCCAGACCAGCCTGGCAGGGTAGCAGAACAGCATGCAGAAGAGGGGTTCTTACACTGCACCATCTTATTGGCTCCTCTCAGGAGACTGCTTAGGGTTTATTTTCCTACCATTATCCATAGCAAGATTTTTTTTTTTTTTTTTTTTTTTTTTTTTTTTTTTTTTTTTTTTCTTTCTCCATATCCAGGACACACTGGATTTTCCAAACTGAGAAGCAGAAGAGAAGAGCTTCTCACACTGCTCAGTGACATTTGCCAAGCGTCCTGTTTGGCAAAGGCTGAAGAGCAAAACTCAGATTTGCGCCTAGCTACAATTATTTTTAAATCTATCTCAGTTTTGTCTCTTCTTGCCTTTCTGGGATGTACGGTTGCTCTCTCTTGTCCTTCTCCCACTCCACGCAACAGCCTCCACTCTGAGAGCCTTGACTATTACAAGTTGCTCCCAAGGTATCCTGACTTAAGAGGCTTCAGATTCATCCCTGGTGTAAAGCCAATGCATCTAGTGGTGTTGCACCACGATGGGGTTAAGCTGCCACCTCCAACCTTCCCAGCGTAACACACGCACCTACTTGCTGCTGTGATTGGGTCAGAGCCCTTGGATGCAAATCCTACTGAAAGCCAAGATTAAACCTCATTTGCACGTAATATGGGAACGCAAGAAATTAACATTTAATATCACCACAAAGCCTGCTGGGCCGTTCTCAACCCCCTGCAGAGCCCAACGGCCCCAAAATGTTTCTTCCAGGCCTTTTCCCTGAAGCCTTTCCCTGGAGAAAATCTTTGGCATAGTGTACGAGCCCTTTTGGAATTAGCTGAACGGAAACGCACTAACCTTTCTTTGCCCACCGGACGGTCCCCTCGCTGGAGTGAACGTAATTTTCAAATTTTGTCTGCAAGACGGTGGCCCGCTCCCGGACCTGCTGAGGGTCTGTGCCACAGGGTTTCTGCAAGGGCGGCGGGAGGATTAGAGGAAAGAGAGAATTTGAGTCGAGAATAATGAAGCAGTTTACAATAGATTTAATAACAGTAAAATCACAAAGTAACCACCCAGGGGCCAACAAAGGTAATCCTCTCAATATTACTAGAAGAAAAAAAAAAAGTATAGATAAAGATGTTAAAGTCAAAGCATCCAGTGAGCAATGCTTGGTGAGGAGAGCAAATCAGTTTTAAATTTGTGTTTTCTAACATCTATTACATAAATTTTTTCTTGTTTTTTCCCTTCATTTTTTTTTTCCTTCAGACTCAATAGGCCAGATACTACCACTTATTTCCAGTGGGTTTATTTAGAGTAACTCCCCTAGAACGTACACTGACCCCATGGAGCCCACTCTTCTACTGTGAGTTTTAGGCTAATGTTGTAAGTTCCCCTGAACTGTGCTGAACAGCTGCACTGAACATCTGGCCTGGTCTTGGCACCAATGGGCCAGGAGATCTACTTTCATCTTCAAGCTCCAAAGAACAGACCGCAATGAATTCCAGGGAACGAATCCAACCAAAATGCTCTTCTCACTCTTGATGGCTGCATGAAGTTCACTCACAAGGTGGTTCCTCTGGAATAAGACAAGCCCCTTGCACCAAAGACATGGCAGAAGGAACTTCCTTAGACCAGAAGGGCAACTTTGTTGGTGTTCAAGTCTACCCATGATCGCACCAGAAGATTTAGTTCAGGGGACAGAAACCAAACATTCCTGGAGACCAACTATTAAGGAGCTTGCTCCTCAAAATGGGCTTGAAGTGCTTGGGCAGAAAGAGGGAATGTGACAAGAAAACAGGAAAATTTTTGATAGAAAGCTGACAAAGTACAAAGTCAAGCATCCACAGATGCAGATCTCTCCAAGACATGGGCCACATCTTAACAGCTGCTCAGAGAGGAACTAGTATCCCAGTCTAGGAGTGCCAGATCCAAGGCTGTATTTAGCCTCTGGGTCAACTCCCAAGCAGGGCTCGCTGACAACAAACCTCCACTGCTCTAACTAGCCCAGTGCCAAGGCAACAAACGTATTGAGTCCTCCCAAGTTTTGCTTCCCAGACAGATTTGCCTGCCCAGGACTGGCCCCAAGCATCCAAGTTCCTGCATAGTGCTCTCTTTTGAGCTCAGGATCCAGTTTCCAGCCTCTGCATCACTCTTCAGCAAAGCACCTTTCGGGACTGGACCTCCTACTCGCTCACCACCTGGACCAACTGCCCAGCTACCTCTCCAACAAAAGCAAGGCTGGGTATTTCAAGAAGCTCCCAAATTCCGGGTCTCCGCTACCCATCTTCCAAAGCATCCCGAAGAGCCCGACAACACCGTCTGCCTCAGCCGTGTTTTAGCTTGACTTAACAGGCACTTATTAATCAGTTGAGCCGCTCCCAAGGCAAGGGGCCCCTGTAAAGATCTAATAAACTACAAGTGGTGCCGCCTCCCCAAAGTGGACACTCGTCGTTGCGACTAACAAGTTTCCATTGATGCAAAACATAAAACTTTCTCCCCCCACTTCCCGCTCCTCCTACCCCCATCCCTTTTCTTTTGTTAAGCCTCCTGGCAGCTCATAGTGTCACCTTCCTGGTGTTTTTTAATATGAATGTGAAATTAGTGAGGTTTGCCCTTTCCCCTGGCGGACAGAATCCTCTGTTATTAAAAAGTAAAGCACTTTAATAATGAAAACTTTTTCTCTTTTTCCTGTGTTTTAACTGTTTAAAATTAATGAGAAGGGCATAACGGTTGTCAAAGCGATATTGAAAGCTGGGTAGCCAGGACCGAATAAGCACGAAAATCCCTCCAGAGTGTTAAATAAACAGTGCTTCAGCCCCCTCTGAATCCCTCTGTTGGTTATTGTATACATTCTGTAACAGCACTCAGAATAGATCTGAGCACCGGGGAGGCAGAAAGGTTTCAGAATTCCAATAAAGGCCTCAAATTAAAGACAGCCTGGTGCGAATTCCAGGAGAAAATTAAAGAGACCTCAAGCTTAAGTGACAGGTGACTTGCTTCTGTGTCACAACTGTCAGGGGATTTAGTGATAATATGGCAATATATTACAAAGGACTTTTCTTATTCCCCCCTTTAGGTTTCAAAATGAGGCATCTCTTCTTCCTGGTGCTGGTGGGAGGGGGAAGGAGGGAAAAGAAGGGGGAAAAAAAAAAAAAAAAAAAAAAAAGACAAAAATGAGGGATAAAAAACTAGGTGCATAATTTCCAAAGTGTGAGGTCAGTGCAAGAGAAATAAATGAAAAAAGCAAACGGCAGGAAACATAATGTACTCAGGAAACAGCTTCTCCCCTCCTCCCATCTCCACCTCGTCTTTTATCCCCTTCTGCCCCTTGAGACAGATCTCATTTTAAAATTGCCCCCTAATGGGCATGAAAAAGCCTGTGTTTGATTCCTGCCTTCTAGGGAGGTTCATCTAAAAATAAAAAAAAATATATATTTTAAAATCTAAATTTAAAACGGACTCAGAGCCAAACTGTGAAAATAAAACCAGCACACCATGTGAGTGTCTGGACAGATCAAACACAGCGATGCTACTGGAAGTCTACTGGAAGCCATCCCTTTACTCACACAAGCAAGCTTTAATCCTCCCGGTATCCTGGTTTGGATGAATGGGACAATTAATTTGAGACCCTTGCACATTTTTTTTCAAGGCCCAAAAGATAAAAGCCTACCCCAGAGGCTTGCTTGATCTTCTCTCTATCTGGATGAATTTGTTACACCTGTTAAGCAACACGGGTTGCTTCCATTACGGAGAAATAGTTGGGTGGAAGAGCTTTTCCCACCTGGTGTTTGCTTGCAGGAACAGCCTATACAGGCAGATCCCTAAAATGCTACCATAATGAATATGGCTAATAACAGTACCTAGAAGGTTTAAAAATAAATAAAATAAATAAAATAAATAAAAAGGATGTTGTTGCAATGTTATCTAGCCAGCTCAAGATATCAGGAGGAAAAAAACAACAACAAAAAATGCCCACACAACATACACACCTATTAGGCCTATTTAAAAAAATAGTAGGGAAAAAAGTTCCTCTTCCTTAGAAGAAAGAAACTTCTAGTTATAAAGGCAGTTTTTAGGTCTGAGAGGATGGCATAGCTACGGAAAGTCTCTGATTCATTAAAAGAGTAGGTTAATGGGAGAAGGGATTGAAATCCCTAAAAACTACACTGAGGGAGAGATGGTCTCTCTTAAAAGTGGAGGGGGACGGGGAGGGAGAAGGAAAAGAGATAAAAAAAAGTCAAAAATCCAGACTGTAACATCTTCAGCTTCCGTGATACTTTAAAACAAAATGAAGGATTTTGTTTTAATAACATCTTCTTACTAACCTCCACATACCTTCTCTAGAACTCACCAAGTCCCCTTGCCCCCCCCTCCATAAAAGTTGAAAGATCAAATTTATTCTCTTTGTAGGCAGGTGAACATTCACACACCCAGACATAGCCACATATATATTTTATACACCTAAATATAAAATATACATTTTACAGGCACTGCAGCTTGCTCCCTGGCTGCACAGAGAAACCCAAAAAATGTGTGTTCCAACGGGGTGCTTATAATGGACTTCAGTCGAGGCAACGAGAACCGAAGAGCATTATAATGAGATTTCTGTGTGCACAACTATAATATATACATGACTCGATGCACGCAAAGCCCATAAGCAGAGCCAGCTCCCTCAGATGGCAACGTCACAAATGGATCTGAGCCCTGCGCATCTGCACAGCGAGGACCCCCTCGCCCCGAGTCCTGCGCGCTGCCCATCGCCTTCGCCGCTCGCTGCATCGTCTTGGTGCTGAATTTACAGATGTTACTGAAGATTAATCCTCCTGAACCTTAGAACCAGGCTTCTGGGGCTGCTGAGAAGCACTGCACGACATTAGTAGAACTTCTGATGGCAATAAAATATAACTCAAACAAAAGGAACAAATCCTTGATTGCTTTTAACATACGCTTTAGTGCAAATTCTAAAGAAGTCTATATGATAGGGACAAAATTGCCTTAATCTCTATCCTCTCTAAATTGTACTGATTTTTTTTCTCTTCCATAAAGAGGGACTTGATTTCAGTCCCAAACCTTTAAGGCTCTGAGTCACTCAAAAATAGGTTCATTATGTATTTATAAATTCCTGCAGCAGATTCAGACCATCATCCTAAAACAAGAGTAGTTATATCCCAGCGCCAGAGAACTCAACAGCAAAATTCCATTCACTCTGAAGGCAGAGGGAAAAGAGGGGTTCAACTTCACCTTTGACTGCGAGGGAAAGGATCCAGCCTCTTACCTGTGGATACCACCTGGCTTGACCTACTTACTACAGAGCAAAAAGCTGAGCAATATCTACTTTTCAAATATTGGTTGCTTTATTTTTCATTTTTGAAAGGAAAGGAGGAAAGACAGGAGAAGAATAAGGCAAGAACATTCTGTGTTTAAACGTGCTAATTATTTTACAATTTGAAAGTACTGCAGAAATGCCCATCTGATCAGTCTTGGTAACAAACAGCCTTGTTAGCTTATTCCTGCTGTGCCATAGGCAAGGATACAAAGGTGCAGAGATGTTCAGGCCAGAAATTTCCAAATGGATCAATGATTTTGAACCTTATCAAGTACCAGGCTTTGATTTTCCACAGCGTTCAGCAGGCAAGACCTCCTGCCACTTTTTGAAAGCCAAATCCTAGATGCGGCTTTTTATGAAATTCAAGAAACTTAGCATCTTTCAAAAAGCACATTTACCAAAAGCAATGCAGGTTGTAAGAGACATCTACAAGAAATGGGAAGTGGGTGGGCAGGTCAGAGGCTCATACACAGCATAACAGAAAGAATGTGTTGGTAAAACAGTGATAAGAAGATAGAAAGACAGACAAACAGGCAGACAGAAGGAAGCTGCATCACACTCAATGCATTTTTGACTTCCATTCAAAATGAGAGCTCTTAAGAGAATTCAGTTTGCCAGAATGCACGAATGCCCAAAATATCAACTGCAAAAGAACTGAATTTTATGAATTAGCAACTCAAACTCAGACCTAAAGCTTATGGAAGTCAACAAAAAGATGCCAGGCATGAATGGAGATCCTGGGATAAAAATAATAATAACAGTAGATTCTGCAGCCAGAAATGCTTACTGCCTATTACAAAATTTGTGCTGATTTGGGGGGGACAGTTTAAAGATTAGAAAACTGTAAAACAAGGTAATTGTGTAATTATTTGCACTGCCTGGCATGATGAATTTATCAGCATTTGTATTGTAAAAAAGGAAGCTTAAAGGGGAATATTTATTATAGTTGACTGGTTAATGAAAACTGGTGCAATTCGAAATCAGAAAAAATAGCTCACCTTGTTTCCTGATCTGGGCAATTTGAAACGATTATCTTTCATAAGGCTGGACAGCACCTTCTCCATCTTTATCTCTGAGACACTAAAACAACAAAGACAAAAAAAAACTATGATTACTCCTCCTTTTCAGTCACAAAATGCAGTGAGCTACAAGTTGTTAACTGAGTTAAAAAAAAAAAAAAACAACTGAGATTTACATATTCAACTTGAGAATTTATCCCTGAAAACATCAGCTCCTCATCCAGCACCCCCCAGAAATGTAATTAACATAAAACTGCATCCCAAGCTGAACTGGGCTTGGATGGGAGCAGGGACACCATTTCATCAACAATCCTGTTTCCAAATCACTGATGAATCCAGGTTTAATATGGCATCAAAATAACTCAGCATAAAACATAAAATAACAAATAAGAATACTGTAGTCCATTGAGACATTGCAAGTCTTCTTGGTACACAACCAGTTCAACATCCTCAGTGACTTAGGTCAAATTTAGGCCTTATGTATATATCTACTTTTTTCTGTCCTAATAGTTAAAAGCCCCATTGTTATCAGGAACCGTTTGGCTAGGTTTTCCCTTAAGAGAATCACAAGATAACATTCAAGTTGCCTTAACAAGCTTTTTGTAGCACTTTGTAAATATGAATATCATCTGTAACATCCATTTTGAACCCAAAGGATGTCCAAAATGTTGCTGTACATGAGATGCCACGGGCAGAGAGAAAAGGATGTGTCTGCACAGTTTTGCTCGTGCAAGTGTGAGAAGAAGACAGACTGAGATATATAAATACAAGCTGGAAAGATGTACTCCTTTCACCCTGCTGTTAGCAGCGACAAATTTGCCTTTTCATTTCTGTTACATCTCGTCTCCACCAGTTTTACCTGATCCTCTGCTAGATCAGAGGCATTGCTCAACTCTCATTCAAAGGAGGAAAATGTTTTGATATTTACACCCTATTTTTTCCACCCACGTCAGCAACCATGGTCCCCAAACAAAGGAGCTTTACACAGTTAGATCCTTTCTCTCGGAGAAGCTCAATCTTAGAGGGAAACAGCAGAATCCCAAGGAACTTCTCCCATCAAGCCAGCTTTATCACAGCTTTCTTCTTTCCTGGTCACATCATACCTCTTTCCCACAAGATCTTGCATCACTCCAATATCCCACTACGTCACTCCGATTAGAGGTCAGAGACACACTTCAAAATGGACACACTCACTCTCCCATCCACTCATATGTTCAAAAGCCATTTCTGATGCCAAATCCATGGTTTGCTTTCCCTCCTCATTTTGAAGACTCACTTTTTCTCTCATTTGAGGTATAAAACCAAAGCCATGCCCATTAGGGAACCCATAGCCTTTTTTTGTCTTTAATACAGGAGAGTCAGTCAGCTTTAATAGCCAGGTTTCACGCTGGGCATTTATTTTCATTCTGTCAACTCACATTCCTCCTGTAGGTTCAACCAGATGATTTGTTCTCCAACCCTATTTGCAGTCACTACTAGGTACTGCTATGACCCAGATTCTGCAAACACTTAAGAATCTGTTCCATCTTAAAGCTTGCAAATGATCTCACTTAAAGGGGCATTTAGGAGACCAGCAATTCTTCATCCTCTTGAACATTGTCTTGTGGAGCACACGGACCAGGTCACACATGGAGGAACAGCTGTGCAGCTTCAGGACTTTAGTATTACAGCTGCACCCAAACTAGGTCCCATTTCCAAGCAAATTGCTCATAACATAAAGACAGAAGTTTGCCTGCCCAAATTTTCAAGTTGTCGCATTTCAGCAGCGGCAAAGGACCACTCTGGGAAACAGGTAATTTTCTTTTTTACACCAGCATAAATTATTAGCATTGCACAGAAGGCAAAGAGCTCGTTTGAGTTTACATCAATTTAAGGAAGAGAAATCTGGAGGCCAAAGGATTCTCAGACTCCTCCGGATTCACAGATGGCCAGAACAACATACAGGTTTCAAAAAGGCAGTACTGCTGATCTGCAAGTTAGGAAGTACAGAAAGAAAAAACAAGGATCTCCCCTTTCTTTTCACCCAAAGATGTCAGAACTCCTGACTCGGGGGAATGGATGAATCCTTCCCATACTCTGCATAACAGGATCTACAATCCTGACCTGCTCCTGAGCCAAGCCCCATGAAACATGCTACGATCAACACCTTTCCTTTTGCAATCTGCTTTTTCAACCCCAAGCACCTCACCATCTCAATGCAGGAAAAGGAAAGAGCTGCTCCAGGAGGATAGCCAGGCAGCCTGGAAGCACAGCCATACTGCAGCCTATATGGGAGGCCAGCTGCATCCTTCCATAGCTGGGGCTCTCCACAGAGCAAATTCCTGCATAGAAGATGGACAGAAAGACAGGGGAAAACGATGCAGGGAGAATGGGAAATGGAGCGTAAAAGGACAACGGAGGGTTCCTCTATTTTCGAAAAGTGAAGCAGCAAATTAAAACATATATGGCAACCACTTCAGCAAGAGAAGAGTCTTCCTCCCTATCCCCCCCCAAGGCAGCTCTCACACCGCCAAGAATGAAAACATCAGCCCTGTGACATGGATTGGTGAGGGCCGCGTCACCCCTGGGCGCAGCGGGGAGCGGGGCCTCGTGCTGCCACGCTGCCGCGCGCCCCTGCATCAAGGAGCGAGCGAGGCCGCCGGGGCGAGATGAAGAAATCACGTGAGAGCTGCCGGGGCAGGCGCCGCTAGACTGCGCTTGGAGCAACTGAGAGAGACGTAAGCAGAAAAGAAAGAATAAAAAAAAAAAAAAGAGGGGAGAAAATAGTCACCTCACTGACTTCCTCTGCCTTGTTGCCTCCTCCTTTTGAGGGAAAATCTGTTAGTTGTTACACACAGTGCTGAGAAATAACATTTTAGAGTGTAGTGTAAAAAAAAAAAAGGGGAGAAAAAAGAGGAAATTCACGTAAAATATCAGTGTGCATTTGCATGCGTTTACAGGCAGGCAGGGGAGCCACAACTTTAAGCTACGCAAAGATGGAAAAGAAAGTTGCAGTGAAGCTTCCCCAGACCCCACCGGGAACTGCAGTTCTCAGCAGAGCCAAAGCGAGATCGTTTTGGCAAGGGCTAGTGCTGCTCTGCGGCGGTGGAAGCCAAGGAGAGGCTTCAGGTACTGGTGAAAATTAATTGCGAGCGATTTCCAATTTCAAAGGCAGTCATCCCTAATTCCGAAGTGGATTTTCATCCAGGAACAAAGCCCCGTCTGCTCTCATTACTTCCGACTCTCAACATTTCTGGACTTACTCCCGTGCACACCGGGGTGGGTGGAGGGCTATGAGAAAAACTCCGGGTCAGATCCTCATCTAGTGCTGATGAGCGTGGCACTATTCATTTACACCAGCTGAAGACTGTAGGGACCTGTCTCATGCTTTGTCTTCTAAGAAATACATATTTTATGAAGTATTTACATTTCAATAAACCCAGCGGGACTTGCATTTAGAAAAGAAAAAAACAAATTAAAAAAATTCGCAACACACACATAAAACAGAGAGCCTCCAACATAAAGCGAGAGATTTAAAATTAAGCAAAGAATAAATAAAATTTTAACAAAGCAAACTGCGGCGACTTGTGCAGTCCAAGCCCAAAGCTGCAAAGGTTTAGGATAAAGAAACAGAAATTATCAGTGCTTAAGAGGATCGGTGACAGCCCAACACATGCTGCCTTTCGCCCTCGCACTGAATTAAATTGTCAGGATTATCGCCATAATGCTCTGTTTATGAAGGGTAACGACAATTTGTGCTGATGGCACTTGCTGCCTTGAGCTTCGAGCTGCCTTTCCGCATCTCCTCGGCGATTCATCAGCGCTCTGCCCTGTTCCCTCGCCCCTTCCCACGCTACGCGGGAAGGGCACGGGGCGCCCGGCTGCCAACGGGCCCAACCATCCGTCCCTGCCAATTAGTCCCTCTCGTTTCTCTCATCGGAAGACTGGGCTCAACGGAGGGAAATTGAACTGCTCTGGGGGCAAGTCCCTTATTGCCGGGGCAGCACTTTTTATGAGGAGCATAAAACAAACAAATGGGAAAAGGCAAATCCCCAGAGCAGCCCGGCTGGAGAAGTGGAGGAAGATATTCCCACAAACTCCCTGCAGCCTCCTAAAGACTCCAAAGACGGCAGGTAGCTTAACAACAGGTCTCCCCATTAGCCATAATTACTAACAGGAATGGGTGACACCACTCCTTAAACTTGTTAGAAATAACAAGAATCAGATCTAAGTATTAACATTTTAAAGTAAAGAGGAAGGGAGGGAAAAAAAAAAAAA